TCTCTCTCTCTCTCTCCCTCTCTTTCTCTCTCTCTCTCTCTCTCTCTCTCTCTCTCTCTCTCTCTCTCTCTCTCTCTCTCTCTTTCTCGTCGTTTCGCATAGTTTTGGATAAATATTCCGGATTTCTCTCTTGACCCAACGTTAAATCGTTAGAAAATTATGTGAACGATCGCGCGCGCGAAAAATTCGCAGCACTCTATTATATTGTCGTTTTTTTTATATTATTACCGCGTTTTATCGTGTAACTGTGAGCGCGGCGTTGTGAAAACGCTGGGGAACTCGGGGCTAACTAACGATATGCATCGTAAACCGCTAGTTGCTCTATCAATTACGCTGCTAATCTTATCCTCTTTTCTCTCTTGTTACAGGTAAGTGTCCATCACGTTAGAATTATATCGATCATCACGCGGTCGGTGAGTAAATTACAAACTTTCCAGTGAACGTCACACTGTAAACCGCACCGCGCTTCGAGAAACACATAATCGTATTTTTCCAACACCCGTAAATGCGCGAGTCTGCGAAAGTTTAATGTTACTTGGCGCGATGTATGTGTGTGTACATAAAGTTTATTTGTGGATTAAGTCTATCCGATATCGTTACTCTCACCAATAGCGCAGCGATGTAATCCGCACTATCGATGTCGCTTTTAATCGAAAACTTTGGCGAAGGTCTCCTCGAAGAGACACACTAATGCACTGCTTCGCGCAATTTTTCTCCGACATTAATCGCTTCGCACACCATCGCGCAATATCAACGAGACAGAGAAAGAGAGAAGAGAAAGAAGAAAGAACCGTTATAAATGCAAATGAAATCCTTACAAAGATGTATGGAATTCGGCGTAGTAAAGCGGGATACGAGAAAAGGATATTGCGGCAAGGTCGCGTACGATATAATTAGCGATCGATGGAATTTAAATAAAAATTCCTCCACATTCCGCGCGGTATGAATGAAATTCCATACCGTCGAAGCTTGAACGCGTTCGCGCAGGTCGGTCGATATTATTTTGTATCCCGGTATTCAATCGCTCGCGCGAAGACCAATGGGTAGCAAAAGGGCCGATCGACGTACTATATTACGTGGGTCGACGTGCATTTGCGGAGTCCTCGCAATCTTCCGCGAACAATATGCTTGTCCTTTTCTCTTTTTATTCTTCGGAGTAAAGTCGTAGGGCTCGACGGTGAGGAGCCGAAGGGCATCGAGAACGAAAGTGTTTCCTGAATGATGTTGTCGAAAGGTAGATTTTATTTTCCAGAGTTGTGTGTATGTGTGTACGCGTCTGCGTCTCCCTCCTTACGAATTTACGTAACGCTTTGCCCTGAAGCGAGATATATGAGCGCGATGGAAATTCGACGGGAATGTATATTCCCAGACCGCCGCGCGTGAAGAATTATTTTCAAGTTGCCGAAAATATCATTTATCAAGGTTGACGGTGGTCTGTTTTAATAATGTCGCGCGCGGCTGATGAAAGAATTTAAACTCTGTGAATATATTATTGCGATGGCAGCAAAATGGGTCGATGAATCGTGTCTCTCTGGGAACGATAAGAATCGGTGTTGTGTATTGAGTCGATCAAAATATTCTTTGACTAAAATAATCGGAAAATAATAAAAATCAATTTGTCATACATAAAATTACAAGTAATTATATCGACTGATGAAATCAACTATTCATCAAACTCTGATATAATTAATTATATGCTGATTAATAATTAATTTTCATTAATCGATTTAATTGTTCGTGATTGCGTATATGACGATTGATTAATTTTACGGCTGCTTTGCCAATTATTTCAGTTGAAGAAATTTTTCATCGATTAACCTTCCACAACGCTGCCTCGAACCGATAAAAATATTTGCTAATAATTTTTCCCCAAACCCGGAGGGAAATCTTGTTTGCTTATCGTCTCTCTTGTGTATCTCTTACTTATTTCTTATTTGTCGTCATGTAACGGATATTTTACGTGACCGCACAAATACGCTCAGCAGCAATTCGATCTCGCTGAGGATCGGTTTTCATGAATGTTTTCCTCGTACGGGAGGCTCCACGAGAGGAACGCGAGAAGAAGATGACCGGATTATCCTAAAAGCTAAAGCATGCCGATCGCGTCTCGTCAGTTTGACGATTTATCGTCTCATCGGCGACCTTGACTTCCCATTATCCGTCGATCCCGACCGCGCCTTTCATCCGTGAAAAATGACCGGCGAATGACATTAAGCGGCTAACATATTACAAGGGTAGCTAACCGCTACAGGCGGTCGAGTCTTGAGAGAGAAAGAGAGGGAGAGTCACCGTATCGTCGTATAGCGCTCCTCAATTAAATTCCCCCGAGAGAATTAAATCACGCGAGAGGATAGCGGCGTTTCTCCGGTCGACAGGAAGTTCCTACAGGAAGACAGGTGGTAGAAACGGGGGCGGCGGGAAGAGCAGTCGGCTCGTAGGTTGAGGGTAGTTCCGAGGGGTGGGAAGGGGGATGAGAACGAGCTCTTAAAATGATTTAATTAAATCGATATTAAACGAGATCGTCGCGATCCGCTCGCGAAAGTCAAGAGCGCGCCCGCTGACGATATTATGCAAAACGACGCGAACGATTTTATAATTCCCGGTGGTCACGATGCCGTCTTTCTCACGCGGTGAGTTA